TGCCCCGCGGGGCGTCTGGTGGTGGGGACGCCGCACCGCCTGCCCCGCGGGGCGTCTGGTGGTGGGGACGCCGCACCGTCTGCCCCGCGGGGCTCCTGGTGGTGGGGACGCCGCACTGTCTGCCCTGCGAGGTGTCTGTTCTTGGTGGTGGTTGCTGTCAAGTTGGTCCCTGCTGTGGCGCCTCTGTGTGTGCAGAGACTACAACGGCTCCGTCAGGTTTGCGAGGCTGACACCTTTCAGAAGCAGATCTCTGGGTCTGTCTTCAGGGCCCTCTGGTGGCTCGAACCACCAGCCTGTCGGCAGTACTCAGGTGCCTAACCATCCGCGCTACCCGGGAGCTCCATCACTGAGACTAGGCCACTAGCCAGAGACCAGAGTTTATCAGTGGCTACCAGGGGCGGGAGGAGGGGGGCACCGTTCAGGGAGCAGTGAGGTCTGGCCGTGGTGATGGCAGGTGGCCAGAGTTCAGGGAGCAGTGAGTGCTCATGGGAGATTTGGCAGCAGATGGTGGTGATGGTCGCACAGCGTAGTTACTGTAACTGACGTCACATGAGATGTGCAACTAGAAATTCCTGCATTGTGTGTGTGTGATGAGTGTGTGTACGACTGTGTGAGTGAGTGTGCGTGTGTGTGCATGTGAGTAAATGTGTGTGAGTATGCATGTGTGTGAGTTGCATGTGTGTGTGTGTGTATGTGTACATAAGTGTGTGAGAGAGTGTGTATCTGTGTGAGTGTGAGAGTGTGTATCTGTGTGAGAGTGTGTGTGACAACAACAGAAAGGTGCGAGGAGGCTTATGCAGACCACCTGGGGGAGCTGGGCGTGCAGACCAGGTTCCTAGTGGTTGAGAGCGTTTTATGCTTGGGGATTATAATTGGACCGTGAAATCAAATGTGCATGAACTGTTGACTGTAAAACAAATCTGCTGTATAAATTTGCACCCAAAGCACGCGTGAGCGCCCACACATGCACACAGTTTACTTGTGGTTAAGAGGTGGGATGGGCGGGAGGGGATAGAAGGGACCTTCCCTGAGGGCACAGAGCTTCCATTAGGGGTGGTGGATAATTTGGAAATGCAGACTGGGCGTGGCTGCACAACATAAGGAATGCAGTTAAATTTTCAAAAATCATTTGAAAACCAAAGTGCAGAAGGAGGAGAAGGAGAAGGTGGGAGAGGGGAGGCGTGGGGGGCGCATGAGTTCTGTGTTTGAGGACTTAAGTGGAAACCACAAACAGACGTGCACAGACACGCCCACTCTGATCTCTAACTTCAAACGTAACCGATACAATCAGCTGGAAACCCGGAGCTGAGTGGCTCTGCCTCACCTGCAGGGCCCCTGCCCTAGTCGGCCGGCCCAGCCCCTCTGAGCTGCTGACCGTCTCTGGCCTGTTTCCCCCGCCCCGTCCAGTACTGGGAGGAGAAGGAGAAGATGCTGCTCCAGTTCCAGAAAACCAAGGTGGACTGTGAGCTCTACAAGGAGAAGATGAACGCCCTGCAGGGCCAGGTGGTCGAGCTGCAGAAGGAGCGAGACCAGGTACCCGAAGAGGCGGGGCCTCAGAGCGCACAGGCGACAGGCTGAAGGCTCGCCCGTCCCGGCGGGCAGCTGGTGCCAGGTTTGGGGCCTTTCCTCGGTCAGGACCCACTGGCTGACACACACGGTTAACACGCTGCTGACCAGAAGGTTGGAGGTTTGGGTCTGACCAGAGGGCCTCAGAGGGAAGGCCTGGCCACCACTTCTGAAAAACCGGCCATTGGAAGCCATGCGGAGTGCGGTTAGTGACACAGCCCAGGGCACCATGAGTCAGGGCGATGCGACGGCCGGGTGTTTCGCTCGGTCCCCACGGGGTGTTTAAGCCCCCGCCCCGTCATGGCCTGCTGTGCTCACTGCTGGCAGATCTGCCCGGCTGTTATTCCTGGCTGACGTCTGAGAACGTCTCCAGGCCAGGGCCAGTGGTCCGGTGGACCCTGACTCACGGTGACTCCGAGTGCGTGTCGGAGCAGAGCCGAGCCCCACGTGGCGTCAGTGGCTGCTTTGTCAGTTGCCAGGCCTTTCTTCGGTGGCATCCTTGTGGACTCGAACCTGCAGTCTCTCGTTAGCAGCTGAGCACGTTAAGGTGTCCGCCAGCCAGGGCTCCGTTTCAGTGCCCCCAGCCCAGACAGTGGGTTTTGTCCCAGTCGCTTACTCATGCCTGCCTTGGAAACCAGCGTAGGCTTGCACAGCTCGGAGTGAAAGCTGTGTCCCACGCACATCCGCTGAGTCCAGGCTAAATCAGAAAAGAAACGGGACTGTGTGCTTTGGCGATGACTCTCCTTGCTGGTCTTGTTGGCCCGTCTTCTTTAAAGTTTTTAAAGTGGGGCGCACGCTGCCTCTTCCCCCAGGCGTACGCAGCGCGAGACAGGGCGCAGGCGGAGGTCTCGCAGAGGCTGACGGAGAAGGACTCACTCCGCAGACAACTGTTGGAGCTGACGGAGGAGGTCTGTGAGCTGCGTGAACAGCTCTGCAGGCTGTGGGCGGCCTCGCCACCGAGCGGGGTGAGCACTTCCCCAGTGCTTCCCGAGGGCGGGCGGCTGGAGGGGCCACGCAGGTGCAGGGGGCAGGAGGGGGGCCCTGCCTCCAGCTCCAGGTGCCCAAGGGCCTAGGGTTCACAGTGAGACCTCTCCTGTGCAGGCAGCCAGCCGTTCCTCACCCCCGGCAGCTCCCCGCATCAGGGAGAAACATGTATGTACATACGTAATCACACACGTGACTGTCGTTAGGTGCGCTCAGGTGGATTCCTGACTCACAGCAACGCCGTGTGACAGTAGCACTGCCCCAGAGGGTTTCCCAGGCTGTCATCTTACCAGAGCAGGTCACCTGGTCTTTGCTCCGTCAGAGCCACAGGGTAGATTGGAACCGCCAACCTTCGGGCTGGCAGCCGAGGGCTTAACCATTGTGTCACCAGGGCTCCTGTGTGTGTGTGTGTGTGTGTGTGTGTAGCTCTGGTGGTGCGATGGGTAAGGCATTTGCCTGCTGACCAGAAGGTTGGCCATTGCTCCCCAGGAGGAAGATGAGGCAATCTATTTCTGTATAGACTGACACCCTTGGAAACCCTGTGGGGGTCACTATGAGTGAGAATCGACTCACTGGCAGTGGGTGTGGTTTGGACTTGGCTTCCATAAAGACTGACAGCCTTGGAAACCCTGTGGGGGTCTCTGAGTTAGAATAGACTCTGTGGAAGCGGTGGGTGGGATATACGACTGGGTGGGTGATGGGGCCGTGGTGGTTTTCCTGGGTGCTGGTGCGAGGAGGCCTGTCCACAGGGCACAGATGGATGGTGGTAAGTGGGTGGGAACCTAAGAGCACCAGGGAGAACATCCTAAGCTCCCCACCCACCGTGTCAGCAGGCCGAGTTGGACGCCGGGGAGCCCTGTGCGAGGGGCAAGCAGCGGCTGGTCCGGATGTACGCCATCTGCTCCACCGAGGTACTGCTTCTCCGGCCCCTCAGCGCACCCTCTCCACCCCCATGATGGGGGGACCTTCCTTCTGTTCCCCCTGCAGGGATGGGTTAGTGCCAAGAGACAGGCAGTAATCAGGGTGGCGGGGTCACTCCCAGAGCCTGGCTCCGTGTGTCTGTTCTCCCCCTTTGGCCAAGGCGAGAGCAAGTGACCGTCTGGACCTCAGGGTGGGACAGCAGGGTCACTACTGGGACGAAGGGCGAGAGGCGTGTGGGAGGTGGTACCCCGTGCTGCTGCTGTGGTTCAGGCCTTGGGGTTCCCTTTCTGGAAGTTTCCAGCACTGTCCCTGCGTTCCCCAGCTCCGTGGCATGTAGCCTGGCCTGCTCACTGACCCCGCGGAAGGTCCAGAGAGTTGTGTAGCTCATTCATCTTCCAGAGCGTGAATTCAGAGCCTGGACTCGGCGGGCCACAGCCCACCCCCAAGGCAATCGCATCAGTCCCCTCCATTCAGAACCCTCCAAGGCACCCCAGGGCCCGGGCCAAAGTCCAGCTGTGACTCCTTTCTGGAAGTGGTGATCAGGGGAGCCCTCTGCCCAGAGCTGGCTTACATCCCATTCTTCTCATAGGTCCCCAGGGACCACCACTCCTGGACGCCCCTCTCTGGCCTCCTGTCCCCCCACTCTCCACACCTGGCCTTTGAATCTGGCCACATGGAGGGGTTTGCTCCTCCCCACCCCTCTCTCCCCACCTCTGTCTGGACTGTGCCTCCCCTCCCCCACCGGGCCACCTCAGCCAGCTTAGCTACTGCTTCCTCCAGGAAGTCACCCGGAGTGTCCTGCCCACCATGACACCCATGTGCCTGGTGTCCTTGTGGGACTGCACTGTTGGTCCCCTCGCCCACCAAGGATATCACTTGCCCTCAGGTGTGTGCTCACTACTGGCAAATGGCCTGGCACATAGTAGGGGCTTAGGAGATACTTGTTCAGTGTGGACAGACCTAAATTCAGATCTACTTGTTTGGGACACTTCCCTTCCCACAGGTACTGGTGGGAAGCAGCCCACGTGTGGCTCCTCCCCTCACTGGCTGGGGGCACCTCTCTAACCAGTAGTCAGCCTCTTTAACCTATAGTTAGCCTCTCTAACCAGCAGTCAGCCTCTCTAACCAGCAGGCAGCCTTTTTAACCCATAGTTAGCCTCTCTAACCAGTAGTCAGCCTCTCTAATCTGTAGTCAGCCCTTCTAACCAGTAGTCAGCCTCTCTAACATGTAGTCAGCCTTCTAGCCAGTACTCATCCTCACCAACCAGTAGTCAGCCTTTCTAACCAGTCGTCAGCCTGTCTAACCAGTACTCAGCCTTTTTACCCTGTACTCAGCCTCTCTGGTCTGCAGGCAGCCTCTCTAACCAGCAGTCAGCGTCTCTAACCAGTATTTAGCTTCTCTAACCAGCAGTCAGCCTCTCT